ATATAAAATGTATAATGTAATTCTATTAATTCTATTGCAGAAAATGCTGTATGAAAATTAAAAATTTAAATAAACAGAAATTTTACACATATGTATAATACATTTTCTTGAAATTTTATATAACAATTTCTTAAGAACAATTTATTAAAAAAAAAAATAATAAATATATATTCGATGTTATATTATTATTTATGACAATAATGTACTTATAAATAATAATAATAAGTTGATTAGAGAAAGTTGTCTAGTCTTTAATATATATAAATAACTATATATTTAAAATACACATATCTTTAATATAAATAGTATTATTAATACTTTTCTTGAAAAAGTCTCTACGAAATATACAAAAATTATTGACACGATAAATGCCTCATAAATTTATATCTAAATATCCACATAAAAAATATTGTAAGTACAGTAGTATTCTACTTTAAAACTGATTAATACATTTCATTTATTGACTATCGTTGCTTTTTTGTTACACACACACGCACACTTATATAAAAAGGAATTCTTTTAACTTTTTCAAAATGTATGTCTTGCTGAATAATTGTGCAAAAAGATTTCTATAGATCAGTTGAAAATCCAAGGTTCTTTTGTCAATAGAGCTGACTGTGTTCTTGCCTCTCTTTCTCCCTTTCTTTATCTCTCTCTCTCTCTCTCTCTCTCTCTCTCTCTCTCTCTCTCTCTCTCTCTCTCAAAACTCTACGACGACAAGTATTCTAAATATATCTACGATAGTGAAAGCAAAGCTTCGGAAAGACTTTTAGATATACATCCATACAATGTTGATCCTATTGTATAAAAAAAAATGCACATGGAATATTCAAAGTGAACACAAGATTACACCTTTAAGTTAAAAAAGCAAGTAAAAATACTTGCGGAAAAAACGTAGGTAAAGTAACCGTCTCCGTTATAGGCAAGGGAATTAAGTTTAAAGAAATTAAACGCATAAAAGAAATTAAATTAAAACAATATGTATTATCGATATATTACTGATGAAAACCACAGCGCAATCATTATTCTTTATGGTGGTGAATGTTATTAAAGCGATGGGGTTCTTCAAATTTAATAAGTTAATATCAGTTTACGAAAACATAATGATTACCATTATGATAAATAATGTTTCTAAAACGAAACAATCACAAAGCATTAATCAATCGAAACGTTCACTTACTTGATATTTTGCTTAAAAGTATGCATATTTAATGATAAACCGGTCAAAATGAAATAACAGAATGATTATTCTGTTATTCCTATTTGTAATGAAATATTATTACTAAATCAAGATTTAATGTTAGGAGAAAGTCACAAATGACATTCTAATTACAATAAAAAAATATATAGAAGCAATTATTATAATATCAAAACATTTTTATAAAAAAATCCAAAATAATTGTAATTTTTTTTCTCAAATAACAATTTCTTCTTAAAAATACTCTTTTTAAATTACTCGATGTGATATTTTATTATCTATATAAATTGTACAAATTAGAACTTTATGAAAATATTTATGTTTATTTTTATTAAGCACAAAAATTGGAAAAACCATTTTACATGTTTAACATATTCATCGTTTCGGTTAAATTTCACTTTCCCAATGTCATTGAGTAAATATTTTAAAATATTCATTATTGTTTTGCTTTTGCTTTTGCTTATCTAAAGTATTGTTATAATATATATCATCAAAAATTATTATTTTTAAATTTTAACTTCTTTGTAATTTTTTTATAATTTTTTATCCCAATAAAACGTGTTTATTCCTTTTGTTTTATTGAAAATGTTTGAACATTTTGTAAATACGTCCGTATTAGGCTAGAATTCTCATAAAAATTTCATTAATAACTCAATACATGAATTTTAATATTATAAGATTAGGAATATTTTATTTATTATATATCAAGATAATTGAATTAATAATAAAATTTTATTACATTTATCTCGGGTTAATTAAACAAATATCGATATATATTTAAGAGTAGTAAATGATAATAATAATAAATTGCAATTAAAATTTACATAAAAAAATAGAATTCAAAACCTCAGAAAGCCTTTATTATTATTTACAATTATATATTTGGTTAAATATGAATAGAAAATGGCTAAATAATGTTTCTATTTTAATTTACAATATTCATTGCGTTATCTTAACAAATTATTTAGATATGAAAAATAAAAGATCTTAGTATTAAAACAATTAAAATTAAAATATTAGAAAATATTAAATTTTTATCATCAAAGTATTGAAAGAGTATATTTATATCTTATTAAAATGTTTTATCAAATAATTAGTAAATTTTACCAATATTTATTACATATGTGACATATCTGTCATATATATATATATATATATGTTTATATTAGTTTTAATTGTTCAAAATTAAAAATGAAAGAAATTAAATTTCTTTGCTATTGCTTTGAAATAACAATTTATGTACGAATATGCTTTTTTTATATTCATTTCATACATGTAACCATCTTTTCAACAAATAATGTTCATTAATCATTATAAACATTTCTATGAAATACCATAAATAATTTATTAAAATTTGATATTTAAGTCAATGGATGGAATTTTATTTCACAGAATATCCAGAGTAAAATATTTTATTAGACTATTTTATTTACAAAACAGTGACTGTTGAGAGCTGCTTGAATTTATTATACAGTGTACATTAATAGTACTCAATATTTAAAGTTGTAAGAAAATAAAGTTTTATGTAAAACATTGTACAATCAGCTTTTAATGAAAGTCCACCCATATGTGATTCTATCTATAATTAAACTATTTTGAAACATAATATCTTAGATAGTTTATATGCTCTATTCGTGTCTTTACGATCGACACACATATACATATGTTTACCTAACATTAACTTAACTTTTCAATAATCAGGCCCATGTTACATAAAATTCAATTTTCATGAAAAACATGATTAATTTATTATCGGATCCATAAAACATTCTACAACGGTTCACTAGATCGGCGAATTGAAAACGCGAAGCACAAATTTAATTAAACTCCCCACGTCCTAAACCTCCCGCCATCGTTCCTCGATTCCCAAGCAATACGTCCGCATGCAAGGTCACAACAACGTAACGGAACCTTGCGCCCAATCCCTGTCCGTCTTGTTAAACAGAAATCGCTCCCACGTTAGCGTGGCACGTGCATACAAAATTGCAGGGTGTCAAAGTCGCAAAGTCGCAGCCGTACAAAGGCTTTGGTTGCCCCGAACTTTGTGACGTGGTGCGCCGTCTCGCGGCGACCCCACCTCCGGCTCCTTCAGCCCAGCCCCGAGACACTCCACGGCCCGCGATCGATAATAATAAAAAAGTCGTGAGATCGCGAACGATCTTCGCGAGGAGGGATGACATTGCGCGGCCACGACTGGATATGACCATTCCGGGGAAGGAACGGCGTTTTTACGGGCTTCGATTGATTGACAGACAGCCACTACTGATACTTTTCAATCGCACTTTCTTTATCGGCTTGAACGACTGTCTTGATACAGCCAGATTTATGTTTATTTGTCCGTCGTTATTTGACGGACAGTAGTGCAGGATTTCATTTCTGGAGGAACTGATAACTCGTGATTCTGTTGTATAGGACTTTATGGAAATAGCTTGTTAAGCTGAGAATGAAAAATCTATTTGTGCTTATAAATAAGATACGCATCGCGCGAATCATAAGAAATTTTCAAGTCCAATTACAAATTTCAGTCGGAGTAATTTAAATTTAAAGTACAATCGATTAGTTTCGTTTTAATGTTCGGTACAAAGTATATTTTCACCTTGATTTGCGCTTGCACACGTGTATAAGTAATTTATTTTAGTTTGCCATTATTTCACCAAGTATTTCTTAAAAATATTTTGTAAATATGAAAGTCATTGTGCTCTAGTATGATCATGAGATTAGGAAAAGGGTCCCGCAAAATTATATACAAAGGGGGTTATAGTTACTGTTGACATTTTTCTTCTGCATTATACTAACGGTAAAGTACAAGTACGAAAATTATGATTATAACTTTTAATCCGAGGATTATAAAATCTTCAAATAACTAATATTTTATTAACTTATTAGGCAGCGTTAATTTGTCATATCTTTAAATTTCGGTGCTTTTCAAATATGCAATGAATATCTTCAACGAGCTAATTTCAAGCTTTACGAAAAAAAAAAAAAAAAAAAAAAAAAAAAAAAAAAAAAGCTGTAAAGATTTATCATCAAATACTTCGAAATACTTGGCTATATGAAAATAATAATTATAGCGACGTATAATAATAGTAAAATAACATGCTCATTAATTTAATAAATTAATTAATTAATTGATGTTATTGTGATAAAACCCCCGTGCACTCAAATCATCTTCATATCTCAATACCTACATATCCTTCTCAAATATGAAACAAATAAAAAAAATGCTTCACAACAGTTTTTTTAAGTATAAATAAAAATAACAATGTTTAACATAGTTTTGAATCGAAAAAAATTGTAATATGCCCTTTGAATTCACGTTTCTTCATTCTCTGGAACCACGTTTAATCCATCTAAACCGTGCCCCGTCACTTTAAAATTCTTCCTTATAATCCTCATTTCTCAAGTTTATGTTTAAGTGGTTGGCAATCGTTATCAAATTGTTATTTGTGTAAGAGTATCATAAAGGTTAAAGGTTGGAAGTACGACTAAAATGAGTCGGTGAATTATATTCTCATTCAATTTTGTCTGTTTGTTATATAAAGTGGCCTTGTTTTAAAATACATTTATAATATAATCACAATATGCAGGCTTTCATCATTTACTCGAAGCCCAACATCGAACGCTCTTATAAGAATTGCGCCGCTCACGCTCTCAAGGAAGCACATAAAAATTTCACGATGAAAACTCTTTGAATATTTCAGCCACATATCTCGTACGACATTTTACTTTCTCAAATCACGGTTATACAAGCCGGTAATAAAACTCACCTCACGTCCCGATAAAACTCATCTCTATTTTATAGTTTCTCACACTCGGTGGTGAAATCGAGGCTGGAGTCATTAATGGGAACCAACATCGTGAGGCTGACCGACCGGAAGTACATGCTTACGCTCATAGCAAAAATACGCGAGGAACACGAGAATCAACAGGCAGCTCGGATACAAGAGAGGAAGGTAAGAAATAATCCAATGAAAAAGGATAATGAAAGCAGAGAGCGAGAGAGAAAGTGTGTGTGTGTGTGTGTGTGTGTGTGTGTGTGTGAGAGAGAGAGAGAGAGAGAGACGAGTCCCTCCAAGTACAAAAATTTTTAGATAAAACTTTAATATCGGAGTAATTCGGATATGCCAAGTTGTTGAACAATAATTGTAGTTAAACGTCAAGGTGGAATGTCTAGCGCTGTTTACTTTTAAAAGGCCGAGAGAGTCATTAAAATAATGTGCGACAAGCGATATTATAGATACAATTAATTTCGCGCTCCCTCCCAATAGTAGGAAAAGTAAAATAATTCAAGCGTCGAACGAAACTGGAGACTTGTTTTTCTATTCCTTGTTTTCACATTTCCTTGCCAACATTTAATCCAGTAAGTTTTCAACATTAACAGAAATTTGATAATATTTCACCTCGTGCACTTAGTGCTGCTAATAAAGTACAATGATAAAACGAGTCAAATTCGACGGATTTTAATATTGTTTGGAATTCACTATGTAAACACATATGTGTTGTAATATAACACCTCGTGTATTTTATATGATAACGTTAATATTGATCTGTCGATGTGTATCAATTAAAATTTTTCCTCGTTATTTATCTATATTATAATTTAGAAGAAAGCACAGTAAGTCATACGAGTATGCTTTATTCATAGATATAATTAAATCTCTAAAATTAATATAAACAAAACAAAAAGCAAATAAAATAAATAATAATTCAATTGCTCTGTATTCAATGATAATTAATATAACGAATATTCTATATTTAATACAATGATGCATTTTTAAAATAGTAAGAATGATAAAATACTATGTTGTTATGTATCAGTTTGTATTTTGTGAATAAATTATTGAAACGCAATACATATAATATGGAAACATGAAAACATATAACATGGAAACATGAAATATTTACAAAATTATACTGTTTCTTACTATCAATTAAATAGTAAAACTCGATAAATTGAACATAATTTATTATATTTATAAAAATAAGTAGAAATTTCAATACATGGGAAAATAATCTTATAAATAACCATAAAATGAATAAATTCTGACGCAGAAATGTAAAGATTTGCTGTATATAATTGTGCGGTATCTAATATACATTCAACCAAGACAATTTTAAGTAATATTTGACAACATGCAACAATTATATTATGTAAATTCAATTTTAAAATGGTTGCTGCAAGGTTTACTATGTTGTTGATTATCAGATTGGCCTTGGGCGTCTTGGAGTTACAAAACTTGCAATGCGTTGCTGAACACAAAAACTTTCGATAAATGCCAAACAAATTTTTTTCGTACATGAAATTTATTATAAAAATTTTTTATTAAAAATTTCATAACTATTTATTCATTATTCTAGATATGAGAAATATTGTTTAATGCTACAAAAGTTCGTGGGGGATAGACTTTAATTTTATTTAGACATTAAAATTACTGAGGCTACGTCGTTAAATAGTACTATTTGCAATCAATGATATGAATAAAATTTAAAAAATTTAAATTTGTGTTAAAAAACTGAAAATTGTCAAATCTGTCAATTTTAACAAGGAACATATACATTTATTTTAATAACTTATGTTAAAAATGTACTTTTGTAATAATTACTTGGAATAAAAAGTAAATATGACAATTTTTTATTGTAACTTTGATGATTAATAAATAAACTTGGCTGCTTATTTTCCATCATATTTGAATAAGTAATTTTTAAAATCTTATAAATATATCTTATTTCAATTACAAAAACTACAGTCATATAAAGCTTAAAAAATATGCTTTTTTTTTTAGCTTTTGCCTGACATTTAAATTTCTATAATATATCATTGGTACTATATTAAGGATCGTGATATAAAGCATTTATTAGTAAATAAACTATTATAATGCATTATAATGTGACGCGATATTAATTAATTATTTATTCTATAGGAATTATTATCTATATAATTGAAGTAGCCTAATAAATGTATTTTAAATTATTTCGCCAGTGACTCAATGAATTTCGCCAGGATGCTCACATCTATGCGTTATAAATAAACAATACTATTAAACAAATGACAAAATATCTAGGATTTGTTTTTCTTTTGTTTTCGTGTAAAATGAAAATATTTTGATGTCCGTTTCATTATAAAGTTTTTGCGTTAATTTATAACTTTACATATTTAAGTAATTTCCTTTATTATTCTCTAATCTATAGTTTTATGACACGAGGGGCTCTACATTATTATATCAACAAATAACATATGCATAGAAATTTGAATTTTCATTTAAATGCTGATAAAAATTATGTGCAAATTAATATATATATATATATATATATATATATATATATATATATATATATACATATGGCTCAGTTTCTCCAAATTTCCAATAATCGTTGACTTTATATAGACCAACGTGTCCAACGTTGGTTCCAACGCAATTAAATAAAAAACATCTTGAAAATAGCTTCTTTAACAAAAGTCCATTTGGCTAATGTGACGTTTGATGCTCTATGGAATATAAATATCCTGTCTTCGATATATCGCCGTATTATTGCACAAACATTAGATTTTCTTTTATAATGCAAATACGCGGAGCTGCCGAGCAAAGCTCTTATCCTGTTTATATTTGCAGACACGTGAATTAATGCGGACGAAGACGATGATACTTAATCGATTTATGACTATCGAAGAGGCTCAAGCTGAAATCCGTCAATATCCCCTCTTTCAACTATACTTATACTGCGACTCCATATCCCGTCGACCGCAGAAAATGGTAAGCGAGCCATGACTTAACCGAAGTTATTGAATTTTTTAATCGCAAATTGCCTTTCGCCGGCTTTCCAGCGACTCACCGAATTTCCGATGTATTCTTACAGCGGCTGCCGAAGAAAGTGAAAATATCCGAGTCCTTGTACCGGCTACTTTATCCAGAGAAATTGGCCGACGATTTACAGCTAACCCAGAATCTGTCGTTCATTGAAGATGAGGAGGAGGAGATCGATGAGGATGAGGTAAGGAATAACACGATAGCTGTGATAAAAAGAGTAGATTTTCTTGATCCGGGATCTTTTTCATTTCCCTTAGTGAGGTGTCTCTTGGAGCTTTCGTATTATTAACAACATTTCGACATTATAAAGATAGAAAAAATGAGATCGAGACAAATTCAGGGAAAACGAGTAAATTTCTTGTCTGACTAATTGCATAAACAGCATAGGCATTAAAGCTTCGTTATCGATTAGAAGTGAGACAAATTCATTTATCTTATAGAAGTCACCAAAGAATATTCATGGAATAATTATTGATTTATCATAACGAAATAATATTCATAAAAGTATACGGCTCGTCGAAATTCTCTGCTCGATGAATAAAGTTTATCGTTTCAATACGCTCTTCATTTATATTTTTAATTAGTGGTTCAAATAAATGTTTGGTACATCTAAATTAGTGAAAATTTCTTCTCCAATCTTCGCAGTCTTAATATACATGTGAAAATAAAATGCGACTTTATGAAAATTATTTAACATAATTCATTGCTATCTCTTTGTTTTGTTATCTTTTATATAAATAATGATACTTTTATTTTAGATTTATAAAAGAGTATAATTCATAACTCACTGCTGGTCAATGAAATAATTATATAATATTCCCTATAATATTACTAATAAATGTCTTTATTATATTTGTAAATTCTTCAAATATTCAAAATTATTTGTTATACAATAGCTATGTCTATATTATATTAATAATAAAAATCATTAGGGTTCTCAAGGTGAGGAGGAAATGGAAGATAAAGTAAGTAGAAAGAAACATACCGCTGAGCCCGAAAATGAATACATGTTCTCACAGGATGAATATGATAATCTTCATTATGTAGCAGATGCTGTGAAGAAATTAAAAGAAATTAAAGTGAGCAATTATGTTATTAATTTCATTAAGGCTTTACAAAAACTTTTGAATTTTAAATATCAAAACGTGTTTGTATATTATTTAATTACCAGTGGCCAATTTATTGAAATTTTAAACTATATCATAATTACAACAGAATTTAGTTTTATACTTTTATTCAAATTCAAAATAAAGTGGATGAATTAGATTTTTGTCGGAGAGCTTGACGCATCTTGAAAGTCAACGGAGAAATTTTGACATTATATAGGAAAATCATTTGAGTCTTATTATTATTTCAAATCATATTCTAGTATAACAACGAAAGAATCGATCATTATATAAATTGTCATTGTATACTCTGCAAAAGTATCTAATCTAAAACTAAACAACAATACGAATGAAACATTGACGTTGAATTGCACGTATGAGACAGAAGATTGAAATTAGAAATTACAGCGGTAGGATGTCGGGCTCAATTCTAAATCGCGATATTTTTGCAACGTATGAGTTGAATCGTGATCAGACACTCGGCAAAAGACGGGACTTCCACGCGAGCAACAATAATCCCGGCGTATTTTGTGATTGACGTTAATTATATTTAGCCACGCGATTGCTTTGAAATTCGAAAACAAAAAGTTTTTCCATTGAATAATCGTTGCTGAACTTATTTTGGCGTCTGGATGTTAAAATTCTGATTGAATAGGATATCAAGTTTAGTAAATAAGCATAGAATCGCTTCTTCTTCTTCCAGCCCTCTCCCCCTTTTTTTTTCGGCTTATCAAGAAAAGAGTCAAAGAAAAGAATCCTGTCCTATATGTCGTTCGAATAATACCGTGTTGCATGCTATTGAAAAGAATATTGTAATGAAATTGCTGTTACGCTAGAAATGTGATGTAATTGGTAGCTTGATGTAAGACGAAGCTTGACGAAGACATCGAATGTAAATGCATTCACTGCTAAACTGTTAAATTAAATGTGCAACTTTACTTAATTAAACTCTTTCACTTGACTAAACTGTACTTCTTTCGTTAGGCACGAAACTTCGAAATAGTCTAAATTATATTATTTGTACGATGTAATTATTTGAACGATACTTTCAATTATAAATATTTCAATTTCCAATATTTCGCTTCACTATCGTATCGAAGACCAATAGTTTCAATATTCTCTACGATCTATTTATAATTACGTATTTCACGTTTACATTATTTAACGTTCAATAGTATTTGTAAAGCAGTATTTAATAATGATACAATACAGTATCATTGCCGACGTGCTTGATAATTTAAATATTATATAAATATGAGTAAATTGCCGGTTATTGATTAAGAAAATTTTTTGCAATTTTATATGCAGACCGTCAATGCTATGTATGCAAAGGCATACGACATCGTAGGAAACTTGTTCAGCTTAGTTGCAAAGAAACGGAAAAAATGTACTTTGGACTAATGAGCGAAAAATGTAAGAAGACGGAATGAATATATTTTATAATTGAAGATATTATTGTGAAATGTCATTTGTAACTTCGAAATAATAATGATAATATATTCATTATATTTTCCAAGCTATGGTATCGGTGAACATGGAGTCGTTACAAAAATAATCTGTCGAAGCAGTGATATCAAGATTTTATAATTAATTGTACACGTGTAAATTTTATTTCGAATTTTTCTTAATTTTTCCTAAATGTAAAAACAACTTAATCATCTTATTTAAAAATGTGCGTTACACTTGATGTAAATTACACAAATTGAAATATATGTATTTATTATTTGCTTACATTGTGTAAATTATTGTTATTTCCATTTTCATGGTTAATTGACGTAATACTGAATGAAACAATTATATGCTAAATAACATTCACATAATAAAATATGTGACAGCTAAGTATATTTTAGTGATAAAAGTTGTTATCTCTAATATAATCGTATAATTCACATATAATAAGTAGATATTTTTAAATGTACTGTTTAAAGTCTTTTCTCGTAGGGAATTAATTTATAAAGTTGTGATCAATGCTAAATTAAAAAAAAAAAAAAAACAGCAATTATGAAAATCTATTAAGAATCATCGACATTTTCAATAATAATCTTTATTTTATAAACTAAAGCCAATGAAAACTGTACTTCTTTTTGTTAATTTATTATTAATTTATTTACAAATGTACAAACATCTATTTTCAAAGCTCTAAACTGTTAATAATTTATAGAATACACAATGCTATCGTATAATATTAAAGTTTTTAAATTTCAAATAATGTTTTATTAATTATTCAAATTTGTTTAGTAACTTATTACAAATTATGCAATATAAAACAAATTATTACTTTTTTTAAAGATACTATTTACCTTTATCTTAATTGTTTACTCTTAAATCGTTTGTTGCCAAACAAGATATGTTAGTATATCCTACATTGATCATAAATAAATAATTCATATATATTATAACTATAATACTTAACGGCATTATTATTTATCGAAAGCTCAAATTTCTACTCTTAAAGTTACAGTGTCTTAGCTTATGCTCTGCTTTCGTGTGTATTTTACGATTAACAACGTCATACTATTTCACTTTCTCTAACTCCTTTTCTCGTATAAAAAGCTCTGTGTAAACTAAATCCTCGCCCACGCCATCAATTGCAAATCGAGACAATATAAAAGGAAGAAAGATAGTGTGTGTGCGTGTGTGAGCGAGCGAGAGAGAGAGAGAGAGAGAGAGAGAGAGAGAGAGACGGGGGAATGAGGAATATTAAAATTGAATGAAATATCGAAAGCAAACAGTAGTTGTAAAAGCTACTCCAGTTATCTACATCTAGTTTATTATAGTTTGAGATATTTCGTAGATACGACATTGAACGTCGGTAACTGTTTTCACAAAGACGTCCGCATAAAATTTTATCATTGATCATTCGAAAGTATTCATTTGAACATTAATTTATCCGTACCACATTCTTTGCGAATTATATTTTTGCATATGATGAATATGATGTAAAAATATCGAGTAGCCGCTATTGTCACTGGTAAGAATTAGCGATAAGCAATTGCCTTATCTTTACATGAGCCGACAATTCCATTTTCATTTTCATTTATTATTCATGGCAATTATGTTATGTTCGCCGCAATTATGTCCCATCATTACGACTTCTATACATTTATAAATCATATTATTACGGCACGCGCATTGATTAATGAAGATAATACACAATCAAGATAATAAGATAAATTAACGTGCTTATTTAAGAAAACTATATTCCTATAACAGCTTTTAATGGATAGAATTTAAAAATTATTTTCATAAAAATTTTAAATTTTAAATGCTTTGAAAATAAGCTGTGCTCAGTGTATCGTAATAATATTCTATACATAATCTTATGTGGAATCATGGTAGACGTATGTATACTTACGTACGTCGGATAAGTACCAACTGAGTAAATTTAATACATACAGATGCAAATAAAAATACTATATATATATATATATATATATATATATATATATGAATATATAAACTTATCACGAAAATCAATATAAGTATTTACTAGAAATTAACAAAAAAAAAAAAAAAAAAAAAACAGCTATAAATTAGCCTTTAATATAAAAAAATATTTACTTATCTATCTATTTTTCATCACTGTGTGCTACGTTAATAATACATATAAAGCCTTCCCATTTATCAAAAATGTATCCTTTTACTTAATTCAATAATTATATTATTTTTAATTAAGCTAATCGTAAATTTAACGTTCATTCTCATATTAGGAAGTAAATGCAGATCTTGAAGTAATGACGTTTACGTGAATGGACATGGATTCGTACACGATTAACTATTAGGTAACGAGAAATATATGGGATTTATTGTAAATCTCTTGGAAATTGATTAAACTATGTTCAGTTAATACATAAAGCAAAGTTTAGTCGTCACAGTTTCATTGACGAATATTCCATTTACCCATTTTCTCTCATCCCTGTGTTTATTTCTATCCAAATATCTTTCTGAGCATGTGTAAATAAATTAATGTTTAATAATAAAATAATTAAAGCTCCAGCATATCACTTAAAATAGAATATGTAGATTACGATGAAAAAACAATTTATATTATTAATATATTTCGATTAATAAAGTTTACAATATAATTTATTATTTATGTATACATCTTAACCTGCGTTTCCCTCCTTATTCCGGTTATAAACAATTGTCTACAAATCCATGTATATTTATTTTTATTAGCTATCTGAATCAATAATTAATAAATTTGTTGTTCGTTTAATTCTTATTCATAAGCTCTTGCTACACTATCTTTCCCAAAATATTGGATTTAAAAATTTATTTGATATTATCTAATGCATTATAATTACATGTACAACTGCGTGCATATTTTTAATATACATATTTTTAATTAATTTAATAATACTTATTAATATGCCCTTGACCTCATCTTTCATTATTTCGTAAAAATAATATACAATGAAAAAGAAAAAGGTAATCAAATTTCTTTCTAATTTTTCATAAAAAGTAAGGCAATATCCTAATGTTATACATAAAGTTCATGAAAGTATTATTAAAGTCATTAGTTATAAATGAAAAATTGAGCAATTGGCTATTGGTCTCAAATAGTCTTCATAACTTAGTTAAAATTAGAGAAGATTAAACTTCAAAATGACAGTAGACGTCTCTGCAATATGGTGTATAATGTGAATAAATATTTCATATCACATCTTTGCAAATCAGCAAGATTATTGCATATTATTACAAATTTATAAAATATGTAATTATATGGCATATAATTATTCGCATAAAGTTACGCAAAATTTGACAATTGAAGATTTTCAAACTAGTAAATTCTTTTATTTATTCATTTTATACGAGTCAACTCTCGTCTACTAGCATAAAAATCTTATATGTAAATGTTAAAAACTCGAATTCTTGTACAAAAAGGCAGAATATAAATCGCTACATTAATATTTTGAATGAATGTCCAATTGTAATATCCAATTGTAAAAAAAAAAAAAAAAAAAAAAAAAAAAAAAACGAGACTTTGCATATTTAAATGAGCTCTTTTTATGCTCGCAAAATTTTCTTAATATTATCAAAATCATGCTATCGATCTTAAATTTATTTTGAAAAAATATACTATTATACGTTATTAACTTTAAGTTTATTAATAAAAATTCTTATATTGTGCGTATATTATGCTTGATATGAGGTTAAGGTTAGTTTTTATTACGGTTTTGTATATTTATTAAGAATAATAAATTACGTTTATAAAAACCACATGATTAGAATTTAGAATGCGTGGTTATAAATATAAACGTATTTTCATAAAATATAGGTATTGGTTTTTCTTGGTTGGTTGTTCATGAATTTTCCCTTCTAGCACGTAATTTGTCTCTTGAAAGAAAACGTTTTCTTTTACAGCGTCTTTGTCGCTTTTCTTACTTTTTATAATTATAAATAAAATATAATGCGAGGAATATAATAGATATTATAAAACTATTACTCTTTTCTTTTAATATTTATTAAACAGATATTTATGAATTTTATATCCTAAGACGAATAGGTATGCGCTAGGCCGACTTTTAACTGAAACGCCCAAAACATTGCAAAGATTTTTAATATAATACCTTTATCACTAATTTCCATTCGACCTTGAATTGTTCAGCTTGCCGATTAGCTGGAAAAAATTATTAATCATTTTACACGGTTGTTATTCTTTCCTCGTAAGCTGATACACATGCATTTATCTTTCATTCGTACTAATATTACATTGTACATTGTTAATTATGCGCATTGACTTAAATAATGAATTATTTTATACTATTATTATTGTTATTGTTATTACTATTGATAAAAAGTCCGTTAGATATATAATTCTCGATTAAACTACAAGAATCCAATAATGATAATTTGCATGTGTTTTGCAATTAAAATTATTAAAGAACTTTTATTGTATGTCCATGAAGATTTAACTAAATGTATTGACCTACAAGAATCTTGTATCTTCGTTTCTACAAGTACGTAGTCCATTACAATTTTCATGGAGCGGCAATACTATACGATTACATAAAAAAAAAAAATTGTTTTCATAGTATTTCGTATTTCAACAAAAGACTTTTCAACGAAAAACTTCATTATTTTCATTATAAAATATCGTTTTAAAAGATTAGAAGATTGTTGATTATTATAAAGTAAAGTAAAGCATCAGTTCGTTTTAAATATGAGATGAATATAATGGTATTTATCTAATAGTGATATACGGTCCCAAGATCAATTAGCATAATTTAGTTCTATATGTTTATGTAAAAGAAACTTATTGCTTTAGTATAATTCAATAACTATTATGACCTTCGGAAAGATCAGAAATTTCGTTTATCATCAGGGGGATGAAATACTAAATTGTTTTGCTAAACATATAGAACATAATAATTTGTATATAATGTTGATTGTGTATAAGGTATTTAGATTAAAAAATTTTTTATATAATGTTAGGATTAGAATAAAATATTTTTATATTAAAATAATATTTTAATTGATGGATATAATGTCAGTATGAATTTATATATAAATTATTTATATGCATTGTATATGTGAACTATGAAAGCTCACTATTATAATAATTATGTCATTTTTAAGTTATTGATAATATATTTTTATTAAAGAAAAACTGTTAAAAATTATATGCGAAACACTCGCATCAAATAAAAGAAAAATTAATGCAAGCTCAACTTAATACAATTATACATACATTGTGTATATATAAAACTGATACACGTAAAACTTCATAAAAGACTCTAAGGCGAAGTTACAATTGCTATAGAAATTTCTCTACAAATGAAATTATATATGATTATTGCAAAAACAGTTTCCTCGTTATTTTATCTAAAACCAAATATTTGTTAAAAATATAAGAAAAATTTACACTCACTATTGATATAGATTTATAGAGATTTATTACCAAGAAGAAAAATTAATTTTCGTAATTACAATCTGCCGAAGAAACTAAAAAAGACAAAAATTTAACTTGTACGGCGATATTTTTATTTAAAACTTACAATTTCATTTTATAAACTATAGTTATATATGACTATTCCTATGCGAAATATCTTGAACATTATAGGTTATCATCACCAATGTAATCTTAGCATTATGTATCGTTAATGGTGTAACAATACGCATTAAAGTAATTCAAATTTATATTTTAGTAACTATCGGTAAAGGATAGAATCTGTAACGGAGCATTAAATATTTACTATGAAACTTATAAACAATGGTCAACTATAGGTAATGGAAATCGTTAAAATTAAAATTGTATATTAAATTTTAATTATTTAGCGACGTTTGATAAATATAAATGTTTTTAGCTCGAACATATTTTGCATGTAATGCACAAATTAAAAAAGTGTATTAAAGCTATTAAAAAGCATTAACATTACTTTAATATATTTTATGCAAAATAAGATAACTATTTTTTAAATTTAGATATTTAGATATTTATTTGTCTCTGGATATTTTAGACGTTATTCGTTAAAGATCTTTTAAGTTTATTTTAAAATATTAAACACATACATTAAAAGAGAAACATAAAAGATAATGCAAATGTAAAGATAATAAATAATAAATGCAAATTTTTATAAAAAATATTATATTACGTAAACTGTAAATCTAAATATTTAAACGTAAATGAAAATAGTCACATAATGAAATTCTAAAATGATCTGGGATATAAAAGATGAAAGTAAATCTGTATTGAAAAGTTCTTATATTTTTTATATATAATCATCATATCGATTAAAAATGTTATTCTTTCGATCTAATATATTTAAAAATTATTCATTTATCAACATTAAAATATTGTATATTATGAATTATTTATTCTATAAAAGTATATTTTTTTAAATTTACCTCAAAATTAAATTTTTTAATAAAAATTCAATACAATTTGATTTTACTTCATAGTAATTGATTGTATAATGCAAAGTTAAAATAATATTAAAATATTTTTCTTAATTTTAAAAGGTTTGGATGTCCAAAAATAATTTATATTGAAAATTTTATACGGATAAGCCAATGTGAAACGAAGAAAGTATAAACTAAAATTTCTTATATATACATATTTTAACAATTATATAGATATTTAATTACATGAAATTATATATATATATATATATGTGTGTGTGTGTGTAATATTTGATCTATTGGGATGTATTGTTTCGAAAATAATAAGTTTAAATATATTTCAATATACAATAATATAGAAGTTTGATAATAGACTAATTTCTATAAAAATTTTTATTTATAATAAAAAAATGAACATTCTTTACAGTCTAAGCTTCAAATTATTTTTAGAATATTAATGTAGAGTTATAATAATAATAATTACTAGAATAATAATTTACAAGAATAATGATAGTTTTAGAACAATAATGCTTTTTAGTAGGGACTCGTGAAAACAAAAAATATTTACTAAAACAATATCATCTAATTCTTCACAACAACAAAAATTATTAAAGTGAAGTAAAAATCCCATTTACTTTTACAAATTATTCAATATAAAAAAATGCAGTTAAAAGTTCATGTAAATCGATGAGGATTTATTATACGTTACTTTTCTGATCAGTTTGAAAAGATATATATTTTAAGAAAAAACGAAGTTCGTGTTTGAGAAATGCTCAGAGCAGATACTACTTACATACACGGAGTACCTCTTTATAATACAAAATTCATGATAAAAAGAAATTTATCACTTGTTATTTAATCTTACATCGTATTCTATGTATTCTTAAGAAGCTTCTAACTAAAATAAAAAGTTTAATGTATTAAAAATTCTGGTGTGACATACCTCGCAATATCCCTATTAATGATGTGTTTATTTTTTTTCAGCCTTTTCTCAATAGTTTTTCTGTAAATTTCATAATTCGGTTGAAATTTATATTGAACTTTATCAAAGAGCTATAACGATATAATATAAAAATTATCTTTGGTAGATTAATAAAAATACAATCTGTTTATTAAAATAAGACAATAAAAATATTGTACATTATACTTCTTTGATGAATATTCGGATTTAAGTAATATAAAGAAAAGATATATTAAACAAACAATATTTAAGAAAAAAAAATATATATATATATATGTATATATATTATTTTATATGAAATGTATCATAAGATAAATAAAAAGAAACTTCCTTGAAAAAAATTAATTTTCTTATAAATATTTTAGGCTCATACAAATTTATAATAATTAAATTCATACAATTCAATAACAATTACAGAATTCATTTATATTAATTATAATATTCTCTATCTAATTATATTTCTCTTCTGCTTCTAGAAATTATGACTATGCATAATTGCCATGACACGGTTCATACATAATACATAATTAAATAGAATCGAATTTTATACGAGTTTGTTTGGAGTGTCGGCGTATAAACAATAATAATTAAGTAATACATAGAATGTAACATTAATTTTATTAATTTGGATAGGTAGTACATGAAGATTTTATATGTGATCGTTGTGCTTTGAAAAAAAAAAAAAATTATTATTTTTAACAATTTCCAAGGATTCGTGTAAAATGAGTTTATTTATCAAAAGTATTGTAAATATAGAAAAAATTTTAATAGTAATAGTGTAATATAAATATAAAAGATTATTTAGAATTTAATAACATATTAAATATAATAGTTATATTGTTTAAGAAATAAAAGGTTTAAAAAAGTTTATGAAATTTTAGTAATTTCTTTCAAAATTATTTATCTTTCATTTAAAAGAACTTAATTTAATGGATAATTATAAATAATATATATATATATATATATATATATATAAATAAAAGTTCATTGTGAGTCATCACATAATAAAAGTTACAGGAGTCTAATTTAGAATAAAGCCGTTGCTTTAAATAGCATCACAGTGGCGGCAATCTATCATCATTTATTTTATAATTTTCTAAATAAGAGAAAAGCAGGACATTGAAATTGAAAAAATCCCCATGCCGAAATGGCCAAGGTTTTTATAAAATTGTTAAAATCTCTTCAATTGCAATTTTTAAATTCATAAGGCACCGTCGAAGTATCACAATGAGAGGAAACGATGCATTCGTAGGGTGTGCGGACACGAGGTTAAAAACCCGCTGTTCCAAAACTCAAAACTTTCATTCACGAGATCTCACGTCTTCGAAAATTAATCCGTGATTCGTTTCGTCAGGACTTTCCCTCATCTCGGCGCCCTTTTTCCCTCGCCCCCGATTCGCGCAGCATCGTCTGCGCGCTTCTCCGGATCTCTAACGCCCCTATATAAGGCGTCGCGGCGCTTATATGTTACCAGAACATCGTAGGCTTGTCCGCTGTCGCTTGATAAATAATCGAAAGTTATCACCGAAAGTAGCTAATGTCACAATTATTGCAATCCTCTCTTCTTTATTAAAAAATTTCATAATTGAATAATTGTTTCATCTTTGGATAGAATTAATTCTTTCGAATTCTGTAGGGACGAGGTAAAAAGTCATTGATTTGAGAGCGTCGCAATGGCATTCTATTTTGCATTTTAGATAATTGATTGGATAACAACTGCAGTAGTACCCAGAAGATTTGCATAAGTGAAAAGTGTTTAATCGTGTAACGATCAGTGTTCTTCTTATAAAAACTTAAAGCTTCGTCCTCTGATACCCGATAATTCATCGCAAAGCTTTACGATGGTACGTTACGACTTTCATCATAATTTTTAATTGCAAGATTAAAAGTATAATTACTTGTTTGAATATTTTACACTAAAAACTTTACTATTTTATTTTATTTTCTTATGTTTTACTTATCATCAACATTTCCCATGTAAACTAATAATTTCTCACCACGTTACAAAGCACGTTTTAACAAACACAGAATACAATAATTTTACATTGTAAATATATAAAAATTAATCAAAAATGTTAGATGATTTAAATAGCCTCATTGCATTAAATGAACTTAAACATAGATGTTTATATATAAAGTTTTGTACATTTAATTCAGTAGTTTCTATCGATCATTGGTCAGGCGATCAACAGGAGAGGTAAGCGCTAAGCGGGAGCAACAAGTATCCGTGAAAGAGAGATATTCAATAGTAAACTTCATTGTATCAAGCATGTCTCGTAATATTTTACTCCTTATCCAATTAACTCTCTATTGTAAATAAATAAGAGATTGCAAACAACCATATTAATATTTCGAGGTAAATGTACTTATATATATATATATATATATATATATATATATATATATATATATATGCGCACGCGCAATTGCGTGAATTACAAAAAATAATAAAAATAATATACATTCATAATAGCATCAAATATATTTACTTTTAAAGTATCTATCTTTATATTTATACAACAATCCACGGCGAAAACAGTGCTGAGCTTTAAGCTTTATACATAGGGTAAATAAGCATCTATAATTATACAAGAGAATACAAATTAAAAGTAAGTTAAAAATTGATATTATTTACATTTTAATTCTTTTATTGATTTAAATAAGTTAAGAATAATAAATTATAGACAAATATTATACTTTAAATAGTTACAAACGTACAGCTATTGTCTATATTTACATAATATATAAATAAATATTTAGTTAATATCTATAGTCAAACAGAAGAAAATGAAGCCTTTAAATAATAAAGTAATTTGCGAATTACATTAAAATGAATCTAATGCATGGCGAATTACAATTTGAAACGAATAAGCTATAATTTAAGAAAATTTTACATAGTCCACATTTTATAAAACTTCAAATTCAATTATAAATTACTCCATTATCAGACTATCATAAAGTACAAGTTCTTCATTATTATTTGGCCTGAATAAAATTTAAAAAAAAAAAGAAAAAAGTATATGTTCATAAATAGATACATTACTCAATTAATAAACAATAAATAAGAATTTATACTTGAATCTATTCTTCAATGTGGTTTAACATAAGAGTAAGAAGACACTTCCAATATTATTACATATTGACAATCTGTGCATTTTTTAAATCAAAAACATTTAGCTGCGATTTGTTGATACAATATCGTCTAACAAAGTATAAGTAATTCAATTGGAATATTATGGTGTGCTTATTGCGTATCCCTTTGTCAAAGCAGAAACAAATTTTAAAATACGAATCGTCTTGAATACATTCGATAAGGGCTTCGTGAATATATAAATAATTCTTTATCTCTTTGGTAAATACATATGTACTATATGTACTGAATTGTATAGAATTCAATTCAACTATAATAAAAGAAAATAATGCTTATATCTAGGACATTTCATGCACAGTATTCATATTGAAATAAAAATTGCAATCCTTTAATACATCTTGCTGATATACAAAATTTTCAATTTCTACTGAAAGCTTAATCATTACTAAATACCGTGAAATTATTGTTATCGATTAAACTTTTAAAATCAAATTTTTATCTTTTATTTTTTAATATTATACTTATTATATTTTAAAAAATGTATTTCACAAGTTTATGTACAAATACAATTATTATTATTATTTGATATTTTTTAGTTAAACTTGTAATAATTAATTATAATAATTATTATCAACATATAATAATTGGATTTTCAAACGTTCAAATAGTGTTTACTAATAGTGTATGCATTTGTGATAATATTTGCAAAACAATATATTACAATATCAATTCAATTAGAATAATAATTAACGATAACATTATATTCAATTTGATATTTCTTGAATCCTAATTTATGCAACAGTGCTATAATTTTATTGATTTATGTATATTTACTAAAGATTCCTCTGCTACGTGGGGTTCGGAAAATATACATATTTTGATATTTTTTATGAAAATAATTTTTCAACTTAACATTTTTATTTCTTAACGTATGATATGAATTGAAAATACAATATTTCAATAATTTAAGAATATTAATGTGTATTATTATGTGTATTAAGAATATAAAAGTCGATGAACGATAATATTAACTCATCTCAATAACTATCTTTGAATAGCCAGATTTTTTAATATTACGCTAAGTTTCGGTTTAACGAATCAATAATAAACATTGACAGCCTTAAATGTCAACTAATAATAGAAGAATACGTTTCACAACATAGTTCTCTCACAAGTTCTAGCGGAAGCTGCAATTTCAAATAGACTTTATAAAAGGAGCAACGTAAGAAGCATCGCTCCGTGATCTCGTATACCCAAGGGATTATATATTGTCGTAGGTGTGGGCTGAGAAAAGATCTCGCAGGACTCTAGAGAGATATAATCGATCGGCTGTATTTCGGGTGTAAACAATTCGGAGCTGCTTATTTCTTTGCCTCACTAATTTCCCCGAAAATCACGAGATCTAAATCATCAAGCAGATAAAAAAACGAGATAAAAAAGAAAATCTTTTTCAATAAGCTGTTAAATCATATCCAATTGGCTTTATCGTCATAGAATCGCCGGACTATGATAACGTATCTTCACAGGTCTATCCATTCAATCCAATAGACTGCTTACGATGCATAGGATTAGCCTGCTTTTTTCATAATTCACGATGGATGCGAGTATTCATAAGATATAATCTCCTAGTACGCTCGTTACCCCGTACAGTTGAAAAGATCAACCCGAGTCAGAAGGGTGTACAATGGCGGTTTTTTGTTTGCTTCATCTCGCCACTGAGTCGTTACTTGGCAATTGCAAGCAAAAAGTGATTTAGCGAAATAACATCGTTGCCTGCTTCTCGAAAAATATAATGCAATGCAATTTTATCTCTATTTTACAAATTTATCCCCAATTATCAATATTTCTCTTTAGAATTAATCTGCGCCTCATAAAAGGCAATAATGTCGTGCCATTAAGTATCAGCTGTGCGACAAATTTTCATAATTATTATTATTATTATTAAGTGAAGCTCTAAAATGCCAATCCGATTAATTTTATTCTGAAGATTGTCTAGAGTAGATAATGGAATATTTTTGTTTTATCTAATACTTAATACCAATCGAACATGATGTTTGCCACAATATAACAAACAAATCAAATTTTTAAATATTATTTGCTTAATTTTTCGAAACACGCTCAATTTGATTGGAATTAAACATCTTTGAAATTGTTTATTTTACCGTATTAAACAAAAATTTAATAGTGGATAAGTTAACATTAATTTCATTTTTACCAAATTAATATTGAAATTTAAAATTTTGAAACATTATATTTCTTGACTATAAATAAAATGTTTTTTTCTTTTCAATTTTTATCGAATATTCAAAGAGTTTTATATAATATATACAAGTAATCCGCATGTTTTTATTAAAAAATTTATATTAAATAATTTTAAAAATATTTTAAATATAGAGTGGCCTAAAATGAAAGCAGAAATTGAATAAAAATCAGTACATCATTATTCAATTACAAGATTATCGGTACAACGTATATTTATAAAAATAATATCTGTGATTTTAGTTCCTCTTATAGTAAAATGTAAGCGTCAAGTTTAATATAAAATTATAATAACTAAATATTGTTCTATATATTTCAATTACAATTATAATTATTATAATTTTATTACCTTTATAAAATATATTTATATAGAATAATAATAAATATATTAAATTATTTATTGGGGGATTGTAAATAATCTAATATATATAAAAAGTATAAAGTTCAATGTATATAATTTATATTATAGAAATATATTCCCTACTACTTCAAGTATGTAGATATAGATAAATATAAATATGTGTGTGTGCGCGCGTGTGTGTACAGTTTAAATCTATATATCTATATAAATCTTTATATATAAATCTAAGTCTAAACTTTTGTATTTCAGATGCGCTGTATTGTCTTATTTTTTATTGTACTTCTAAATATTCATAGTTTAAAAACAGAGTCTGTCGACTATACTCTAAAAAATAGTCGAATGGATATTCCAATTTCACTTCACGAGGAAAAAATGAAAGATCTGACATTACTCTCTCCGCAAATAGACGATAGCAGCGAGCACGAATGGAATAATATCGAATTGAAATATCAGCCGAACAATTATAGAAAAATTGTTAATTTGAATGATAACGAAGAATATAAAAATGAGGAAATTGGTAGGTATAATAAACATTATAATTTCATAATATGATTATTATTTTATGGAAAACTTATCAATATGACGAGGTGATTATTAGAAGTAGTAATCAATCTTATATATTATCAGCTTCATAGTTTAACTTTTAGACTGCAATCAATTCTGTTAAAATATAATATCCAGAAACTTATAGATAAAAAACATAATGGGTAATAACAAATTTTTTACATAAAATGAAAATGAAAATTTTTAATTTTATTTTGACTATTTTACGCAAATTTATAATTCTAAATGTACTAATTCTTAATTTTTTGCATTAGAAAATCTAAAATTCTATTATATTGAGAACAAAAATTATTAAATTAAAAAAATATATATTAAAAATTTGCATTTATAATTAATTTTTAATATCATAATATTATTTATTTTTATTAATAATTTATTTCATGCTTACATATAAATTACGTAAAAAAAAAAAAAAAAAATAGAAATATTAAACATAACACGAATACATTTAAATATTTCAAAGTAATAGAATATTAGTAATAATAAAATGTAACATTGTGAATAAATGGTTGTATCTACATTAAATTTCTATTATTATCTTATTTTATTTAGAAAAAAAAAAAATTTTTCTACAAAAGTGTAACATGAATAATATACAGAATATTATTGTATAAATATTAAGGAAGAAATTAAAAAACAAAAGGTGTTTATGATATACAAAAATTATAATAGAAATTAAAGCGTTTAATTTAACTTTAATTTTTAAAATATTATTAAGTGAAGATGAATTCAAATTTAAAAGGTTAAGCTTAACCAATACGTATTACATAATTTATCACATTTATTTTCATATTTTTTAACATTTATTTTTTATTATACAATGAAATTGAAATTTTCTAATTTCTATGACGATTTTACTGAAATGGCTAATATAATTTATTATCATATTTTCTTAATTATCATAATTCAATAATATAATATAGTACCATAATAATTTAACTATAATAATTCATGCATTGAATTAAAAACATTATATTTAAATAGATATAATAATTATTAATTATGAATAAAACAAGAAACACAAGAGTCGTATTATAAATAAACTTTTTGCAAGTTATAATGAACAATAAAATTTATCGATCGTACTTCGTATAAGTCGTAAAATAATCATTTATATTTTTCTAAAATAGAAGTATTGTACATTCGAATATGTAAATAACTGTTTTATATAACTACAATATTCTCAACACTTTTAGAATTCCAATGTTTATTTATACTCGATTATTAATAATTGTGATGTATTTATTTGTATGTACATTATGATTAAAATATAGATAAATTTATATCTGAAAGTTAATTGCTAATAAAAAATTAAATGATATTAATTACTATACTTTAAAGTAGTCGCTTAAAATAAGATTTAATGCATCATACTTACACACACGCACACGCACGCACACGCACACACACACATATATATATATATATATATATTATGAAATTTTATTCCATTTTTGTTAATCTTAAACAGTGTTTAATATTTTTTATATAGATAAAACTATAAAAAAAAACATAATGAATTTTTATTATTTTGTATTTATTGTATTTATTTGGTACATAGTGTTAGAGATAGAAGAAATGATATACTCATTTAGTTATATATTTACGCACGACGTATTTAAATAATTATTGCCTTTATTCATATAAAAATTCCAAAATCGTATATCATTCTGCATCTATAGGATATATCTTATAAAATTTTACTTAACGATAATTAAATTAAAATATTATTAATTAAAATATTAAATATAATCAAAATTGTTGGAATACATTCAAATGAAACGAAGAATATTTTATCGCAATAATATTTGTGCGTAGTACTATTTCAAGTCGGTGTTCATACTTTAATACCAACCGTTATTACCAACTATTAAAATTAGATAGAAAAAAAAATTGTTATTTATAAACATATAATAATATAACTTTATAAAATTATCTTAATTTATTATACGTAATATGTCTTCAAAATAAGATTTTTTTATGAATAACTCTACACTTTCAATCTTCAAAAATTAATAAATCCAGACTACAATAAGAACTTTAATATATTGTTTCAAAATATTGTCACTATACAACAATATACAATTTATATATATATATATATATGAATAAGTAATCGCTTCGAATAATTTATCACACACTACACAATAGAGATTGTTGTAGTCAATTAAATAAATTTGCATTACAATTTCATAAATACAAATATACAGTGAACTTATTATTTTGTCTTCTTATATATCAATGTTACGAATGTGCTCTAATAGATATGATAAAAAATTTAATTTTACACCTATATTTTTATTATATTAAATAACCAATATATACTAATGTATCGATTACATTTACAAATACATTTAATACCTTATAAATTGAATATATGATGAAATTGTTCTAGCATTTAATAAAGGTATATTTTTAATTAATTTGAAAGCTTTTATTTTAATGAAACTTTGTAAAATTTTAAGCAAATATTTTCAAATTATATAATGCAAAGTTTGGTCAGTGCGTTATAAATGGTCGACACCCGCTGTCGGGAACAAACTCAGTGAGTTCGCGAGTAAACAAATGCAAAACTCAAAACCAACACGCTTAATGCAACTTAGAAGTGATCGCTAATTACTGCCACCTGACGCTTCAGTTCATACGTGAAATAGTTTCTCAAACACGATTTCTCAAATGTACTTATTTACTCTGACTCAATATGTAGGCAGTGAACAAAAGTCCAGGAAATTATTCGTTTATAAGCGATTGGGACTAAAAATGAAAAAAAAAAATAGGCAGAATTATTTCTTAAATATGTTAACTACAAAAAGATCGTACGAAACAATAAATATGTTCTTTTAATAAATTAGGATATTCATCAAAAATAGATTTCAGTTTCTTTTATAATCAGAATGCGGTATTATTGTCTGTTAGTATTAAAAAAATCCAAAATTCAATATTATCAAATTCATAATGTTTTTTAAAATGTCATGAAGGAAATTTGCTTTCGTCACAAGCTTGTTATACTGTTGAACTTTTTAGATTTTACAGATGATCAGTTTAAATCAATCGATCAATTAAATGAGGCGCAATTGATACAATTATCCAAATACTTAATCAAACTTCTACAACGTCCTGATCTTTGGGAAGCTCCGCTTATATTAATAAAAGATCCTCAGGATAACGTAGAAGAGAAAACTTTTCCTTTAGAATTTGGTCTTCAAAATATCTCCAAGAGATCACGTTATTATCGACGATATCCATGGAAACGCCAAAATTCTAGGTATTTTTATATTGTGTAATCATTGATTTGTCAAACTCTGAAATATAAAATGAATCTCTAATACGATAATTAGATTTGCAATTATTCTAATAAAATAATATTGACGAGAAGAAACTTTATCACTAACGATATTGCAAATTTGAAATCTCTTCTACCTTATATATACATCTTTTTTTTGTTTTTTTTTTTTTTTTTTTTATTAAAAATTACTAATAGTCAAAATATATAATTCACGATCGCTTGTAATTTGACATTTAGTTTAAATAATTAGTGATTAACTATCGATAAATTTCGATAAAATGCGCTTAACTCTCCGATTAACAATTGTACTGATATGTGCTTTAATGAACATAAGGTATTAACCGTTATTTAAAAAATTATTAGCAAAGAATTGTTTTCTATCAATACGTTATATGCATATATTGGATATCGCATTGTTCATTAAATTATAATAACTGATTAATTTTCGCAGATCTTATAACAGCATGGATTATGATCCCTATAACGCTTGCAACCCAACGAGAAACGATGTATTTCAATTGTTGGGCTCGGCAAGGAAATAAATCTCGTTTTGTGAATTTCTGCAACCGTCGTAGACCCGCCAGCGCCGTATACACGAACATCCGCTTTCTTGGGCGTAGAAAAAAATAAATGTGCATAGTCATGAATTCCTACTCTACTGATCTGTCGACCTGTTAATAAAAAGCCTCCCACTTATTTGTTGTTACATAATTCATTTCAGTGGGTATATATTTAATTTCAATTTTTTATTTTATTACAACGATTATGGGAGAAACAGAATTATATGTTTCAAGTCTTTAAATTAAAAGCACACGAATAAGCTGATTTGTGATTTAAGTTCGTATTTTGTTATTCTGTGTTAACTATAAATGTATTCTGATCACGTAAATTAGCTGAATGATTTTCAATAAAATCTCGATATCTGAGAATGTCGATTCCACTCCCGATTCACGGATAATTTATTATACGCCATAAGTTCTTGAAAAATTGTAACTGTAAATGACGATCGAAAGAATCGTACAAATATCGCATAAAAAACTTATATCTTTCACATACACACTTATGTTTTTCTTCAATGCAATAAGAAATGTAATATAATAAAATGAAACTCTTATCTTCAAGAATCAAATAAACAAAATATCCTATTAATATAATATCTGATGATGATTTTAATATCAATATTATTATGAATCATGGGTCCCTTAAATAAATAGAAAACAAATTTTAGTATTAGAGTATAAATAAAATTTATTATTTGCAACATGTGATTTAATTTCTAATCTGTAACATATGTCTGGCTTAATTCGAAGGTATAATTTATAATACTTTAATAATAATTGTAATTATTTTACTAGAATTACGGATTACGTTAAAAAAAAAAAAGAAAAGAAAAAAAGAAAAGAAAAAGAAAAAAAAGACATTGGCGCTTTTTAAAAAAATATTGTTTACTTCAAATTTACTGTACACTTATTCGTATAAGAGTATCAAAAATATTAAATACAACTTTTATTTCCTTTATATCCTAAATCTCAGAAAATAACTTGTTTGAAGATTCTTTAAAAATTTGAAGATTCACCACATAAAAGTTGTGAAAAGCTGACGTTGAAACCTTTTCCTGTTCCATTAGAATCGGAGACAAAGTAAACATCCATAAAATTTACTTTTGTTAAGTCAAGTATCGCTGCAAATATTACATAGAAAATAAACTCTATAATCTAAATTCTAAAGAAATATGCGTGTATTTTATATTCGTAAGATGTACACATACTTTTAAAGTTCTTTAAGGAATTTCCACAGTATTTGGTATCTTCTTTACTAATTGAAAAATAATCTTTAGCGCACTCTTCGCTTTGTTCTACGTCAAAGTCTCGTACGTTTATTTCTATATTACAGAAATTTGAAATTTTATGAAACCTGCAAATAATATAATTATCTTATATACACGTGGAAACCATTAGTATATTAAAATATTATTTCAATAGAGTATATAATAAGTATATAAACATTATACCACATTGTTATAATTGTTCAAAATTACAAAAAAAAAAAAAAAAAAAAAAAAAATATATATATATATATTATATATATAGAACAAAATATCACAATGCATTGTAAAATTTAATTGATAATTATATTTAGAATCCATTTACCGATAGCACTTATTGATATTGTTAGGATAGTTATTTGGATATAGCGGCGACTTTATTTCTCCTTGTTTATCATGAATTTCCTCACATTCCGATGCTATTGAACTTACAGATCTGCCATTTCTTGAAATTGGATAAGCAATTCGTAAATTTCTAGTTGGAGCGCCAAATCCAACACATTTTACGTGCTTCAAAATTGCTTCTTTAGACGCAATCACCCAATCTAGAAAAATTCGATTTTGACATCTGCCGTCAAAAAATCTCTCGTGCGTCCCAACCGCAGCTGAAACGCCTTGAATGTCACTGTTTGGAAAGGGTACACTTGGTCGGGAATATAAGTATCCTAGATTACGTTTGTTTCTTATATGTGGATTGGGATCAGGCATTGAAGGATAAATAACCGTGCTGTTCGGAGAATTTATTAAGCTTCGTTTCCCTATCACCGATGGCAAGACATTCGTTTTCCTTTGAAGGAAACCAGAATAATTAGGATAATTTGAATTTCTTGGATCATAAGGATACGAGGGATTCTGTGGATATAACGGATAGGATGGATACGAAGGATAGGATGGATTAGATTCGGATAGTCTGCAAGGTTCTTGAATTACATCGATTAGAAATCCGGAAAATTTAGACCTCGGATATCCCGAATTCATAACGAATATCGATTTAGCAATGTAATCTGTAAAGGATACTTGAAGACTCAGACCACTTTTACAGCCACAATAACGTCTGCCGTCAATCTCTACATAGCCATAATTACAATACTGATCGTCTCCGCCAAAGTTAAAAAATCGAAAATTTAAACGCAGCCGACAAATATCTGGAGAAGATTTTGTAATTGTATATCGGCAAGAAAATGTATTCCTGGTTGAAACGCCACCGGGAAATCCAGGACTGGATAGCGAAAATCTTCTGCTCAATGGCATTCTACAACACTCTCGAACTTGGCCATCGTATCCATTGCCCCAATTATTACCGAAATTCGAATGATAATTATCACCAACTGGGAAATTAAAAGCAGTTGTGAAACCAGAATTGTAGCCGGAATTGTAAGCCGAACCGTAAGTGGGCGTAGCAGAATTGTATGCGGCATTATAACCTAAATTATTTCCAATATTTGAATTGAAACCAGGATAATTGACAGCGATCGGATTAAATCCTCCGCTTTGATAATTTGATAAACCATGATTTATATTATAGCCGCCCCCAAGATAATTTGGAGGACTACCGGTAGGATAATTCGTCAGTTGATTATTGATGTTTACTGGATATCCAGTAGTTAAATATTTATTCGTATAACCATTTTGATAATACCTACCGGGATAATTTGGCAACGGTTTATTAATACCTTCGTTATTATTTGAATCGACTAATCCATTATTTGGATCGTAAATGAGATTCGATGATGATCCAAGTTTAGCTACGGATCGAATCGATCCTTGATCTTGAAATGAATTATAATTGTTTCTTATTGAAGTGCCGGCGTTCTGGTGATTGTCACAATCATTCGACACTTGCAAATCATAATCAACGACTTCTAAACCTGGCTCACCGTAATTCCTATGCGGTATTACAATCGCTTTACGAACTTGTTCCGATGAAGACGAGCTTTTATCTAACGATCCCAAAGCATTTAAATTATTGGAAGATCGCAAATTCGAAAATGATGCCGCTGAACTTTGACTAGGTAACGACAATTCGTTCGGTAACGACGATAAATTATCAAAACTTTGGCTACTTGAAAGATTACTCTGTACGCTCCCATCGTTGTTTCTCGGCGGTAAAAAAAGATATGAATTTATTCGCGCGGATTTTTTATTGGTATCCATTTCCATGGATGACCATGGTGTCGCTGAAGACGAGACGTTGACACTGATATTAAATTTAGACGTGTCGTTTATTCGCGGATATTCAGTTAATAGATTCTGTTTCTTGGATGATCGAAAGCCCGTAACGGAGCTATTACGGCCTCCGTTAATTTCACGGCTGTTGGTAATCGTAGGCATATCATTGGCACCAAAATCATCTCTACCCTCCTCTGTGAATCCCCTGTAAAAGCTGCGAATAAAGTATAACGTTGAGTAAAAGAGAGAGAGAGAGAGAGAGAGAGAGAAAGTATTTTTATTTATTCTTTGATAAAAAAAATATATATATATATATATTTCTAAGCATGTTATTTAAAAAATTTTACTAATTTTCGCTTACAAATATATTTGATAATAAATCGATATCAGTGCTTACTTATATAATTTCTAGTGTAAAAATGTCTATTCAAAAGATTAACTCTTGTAAGTATTTTTTTTCTCTCTTTATTAAAACTCAAATATTAAAACAACCCATTATAAGATGTTTAATAATTTAATAATTGAATAGAATCATTTATACAGCAATAATAATAATAATAATAATAATAATAAATCGCGGTATAAATTGTAGCTTCAAATTTAAAAATCAAACTACGTTAAATATAAATAAAATTTATAAATGCATGACAAAGCGCACACGTATATTTTTAACAAATGTAGGAAGTAAACTTTTAACAATTTCTGCTATTTATACGTTGCGATTGTCATAAAGACTTTAATCGTTCACAACGCATTTACGAATACAGATAATTAAGCACCATATTACCATATTTCCAGGAAAATTCAATTCTAAAAATGTCAATATATTATATTAATCGCTTCCTACATTATTATTTAATGTTTGAAATGGGGAGACTAACAACGTCATAATAATTTATATTGAATATGAGGAAAATCATAATGATACAATCACTGTAAAATAATTTCAATTTTCAGATAAATATTAATTGATATTATACGATTATATGTGAATTTTTCATAAAATCATTATTCGTATAACGAAATTGAGCAAGATCTGTCGGAAGTACCTTTAGTATAGAACAAGAACTGTATAAAACAACTTTTGCTTTTTTTTTTGTTTTTTTGTTTTTTCGTTTTGTTTTGTCAAACCACTAGCTTAAGACTGTAATAAAATTGCGGTAACTATCCTAAATACTTACTGATGGTGATTAAAATTCAAATTACACGGCACCGCCGTAGCGAGTATCTTGAAACCTTTATCGGCATCACGATCATCGGAGTGAAAAACAACGCTCAAACTATTATTCGTGCCCTTAAATTTACGCAAACCAACGACGTTGCCGCAAAAAATGTGTCGATCGCCAACTTGCAAGTAATCCCCCTTGCAATTATCCGAGCCCCGCACATTGAAATCCAAGAACTGTAGATGAAATTCCTGCTCGCATTTGCCCCACGTGTCGCCTTGAAAGCGATAAACGCAATTGAGCCCGTCGGAATAGTTGCGCGGATAATTAGGACTGGTGATCGTGTACTGAAAGCCCCGGTAAGTACCGCCACAACTCCTCTCCTCGCAAAAAGCCAGAGACGCGAGGTACGCGACGATAAGGAGAGCCTTCATCCTCGATCGGCAGCCTCCCGCTTAATTATAAGCGAGTCTAGTCAATAAGCACGTCACTGCGTTTGCGCGATTATAGCCGATAATAGCCGATATTGATAGCGCGAGCCGTCCCAAGCATCGCTTAGGCGATCTCGTCCTAGGCTCCGTCCTCTCGACTTCCGATCTTTTCCGTGGTACCGCGAGCTCCCCCGGGCCGGCCAAACTCAACTGACCGTCCAAGCGCCTCGCGCCTATCTCTTATGACATTCGTCTGTTTGGCCAGCCCAAATATTTCCAGTTTTCACTTGCGCGCCGGATCTGTTTGTCAAGTGACAGACTAGAGTTGGGAGAAAAAAAAATAGGGCGTGCCGAAGGATGTGTGTATAGAAATCGATCGTGAACGAGGAGGTGGTGGAGGCGGCGGAGGCGGCGGCGGTAGCGGCGGCGGTGGCGAAGCTCTCTCGCGCGCGCGTGAGAATCCAAGCCACCGGGAGTAGGATATTCCCTAAACTGCGTGACTTGAATATGAATGTATGCGTATCGCTCGAATGCTCGGTAGTGAAGGTAATTGTGACCATTATCTCATTTTCACTTTTTCTTTTGTTCTTCTTTATTCACTGTGAGGTAGATTGGCGGAACACTTTTCGGTGACTGTATTCGGTGACAACATTCGTCTTACATTAAAATACGCGTTCGCAACTTTAATATAACCCAAGGTGAGGTCATAATACATAAGTAATGATAATAGGATGTGACATTATGATAATTAAATTAATTTAACGCAGCGATGATCCTAAAGTTCTTGAAGAAAACTCGTGAACGTGATTAAAAATGGAATACTGCTGTATTTCAAGGACGTTTGGGGGCGCGCGATTATCATATAAAATTGAATATAAATTGAAATCAAAGCTTGGACGTTATGTCTTTGCGCTTCAATTGGGCGTAAATAATTCCGGACGGCTTATCCACTGGTAAATAAACTTCTTTATTCTCGCCTGTCACCAATTTGGAAAATCTGCTCATATCTATGTCGAAATAGTGCTTATTCGGCATCCTCATTTCAATGCTACAAATCTGGAAAAAGTAATCAATTCGTGGGCATTAATTGCGAGAAACTTAGTATTCATGTGTCGGCGAATTGTAATTACTCGTTGCAAGTACAAACCTGATTGACTTTGCTGAGAACGGACTTTTCAGTGAGATAGAGCGTATTTTGTACACTGGGCGAGTTGACACCGGTTGCCGGTGGCCCGGCGAAATTCTCTAAAATACAATCCTTAACTGTTAGCCAAACATCGTCAAAATTAACTCCCAAGGCAGTTGAGAATTGCCAAGAAGCTGTGACTGTGGTACTGAAGATACGATCATTAGCATCGGGCAATGTGCGATAGTCATCTTGAATAAAATCGGTAAATGAACTTTTCGTTGTTTTGAGTACTCGAAGATTTTTCAATCCTCCGCGAATTCTAGGCGATCCTGCAACGATAATAATTATCTTAACTTTATATTTTATAAATATTGTTTAATAGTATTATATAACCATGTAATGCGGCTTTAAAAAAAAAAAAAAAAAAACAACCTAAAAACGAATAACAAACAAAAAAAATTTCTTATGTTTATTAAAAGTCATGTTGAAATTAGCTATTAGCCATACTACAAAAAAAAAAAAAAAAAAAAAAAATTGTTAAGATTTGTTGCATTGAAAATTTTTTCCGTATCGATATACTTAAGAGGGGAATGAAAAATTTATTTGCATATATTTTCTGTAAAATGTGTTCACTAAACACTGTACGTAGCAGTATTCTGTAATGGAGATGTTCGGAAATTCCAAAAATTTCTTTTTCAACTTATAATGTAGAACAAAATATAGGTTTTTTTTTTTTATTTTTTTTTTTTTTTTATTTATTATTTCTGCTTCGAAACATAGAAATAGAAGCATAGATTTAAAAGAAATTTTTGGCCATTGTAAATATGATAGTTTTAAAAAAGAAATTAAAAAAAATGTAATACAACATTTTACGAATTAATGCCTATGAAATGAAAAGTATTCGATAGAGCAAAAGACCTGCTTATAATGCAGTAGAGAATGTTAATTTAAATATTCGGTGAAAATTTCATTTTGATTATCTAAGACGTGTGTGAGTAAGATTTCCGGTCGGTTGGTAAAAGCTTGTTTGGTGAAAAATTCCTATAAACTCTCTTTTACCATCTTAAGTACGCAGTTGGTTGGTCATTATAGTTAAAAGTACAAAAGAAAAAAACACTTAATGTGTTGGTGATCTACGTTCCAATGATCCTTAAGCATCCTATTGCAATCGATAGGAATAAATTTTCGTCTGATACTTTAATTGTAGCGTTATCTCTTGTTTGCTATCGATACGATAGATAATGATATTTGGATATTTAAATTTCAAAACTGCTTTTTTCTCTCCTTGTTTTTTCTCTCTTATTTCAATTCATACACGGTATTTGTTTCCAACCCTTCCATACATACTTCGATACAACATCATCATGTAAAAAGGTAATTGCATAAAAGAAAAGAAATTCTATTGGCTCGTCTCCGCGGATGAGCGCGCGAATCCTTACCGTTTCGCAGTTGTGTCACTTGGCAATATCTCGTCACAGTGGGTGTGAAGACAAAGGCGTGATTATGAGGAGCCCCGTCGACCTCGTGCCTCGACCAGGGATACTCCTCGACGTTCACGTTAACCTCCTCCACGTGCTTGTATTGGTTGAGGAAGTGCGAGCAGAGGAGAATCCCGAACTCCTCGGGACATTTGACGCCGTGTTTCTTCGCCATGACATATATCGTGTTCTTTTGGCTGTCGGTGGCGATTATGTCCCGATTATCACCCTTCACGTAATCCTTTTGCGTGCCCAGCCGCAGGTGCACGTCGATCTCGTACTCCCTGATCTCGTGACGCAGTGAATTTTCGCGATGCACGTACAGTAGCTTCACGTTGTTCTTCCCGTAACCATAAGCTCCGAGCTCGAAATCCTCCCTGTTACAAGAATCGCCATTAGTTGGGTAGATTTTTTCATTAATCGCTAAACACACACCCAGGCCGAATTGTTTGATTTGCTTGCCGGATTTGTAAAAATCTTCGTGAGAATTTCTCGATATCGCGTGCATGCGCGTCCGGCCGATTGATTGCCTTACTACGCACGCTCTTAAAATATATTGGCAAAGCTCTCGAGACGATGATTAACGTATCATGAAAATTAGTATTATATTGCATCCTTACATAACGTTCCTTAAACATCGAATGAAATTTAAAATGTGTACACGCGGGATGGGTCGTTAGGAACGCGTATTTGTTCTGTGTAAATATTAACTGGTGAAATTTTCGAAAATAGATGACCTCATAAGTACAACGGATACGTAATCCGGTTCGTCATTTTTAAAAGAAGCTTAATGACAAATTTTGCTCTTTGTAAATATCATTAAAGACACTCTTTTTTTTTTTTTTAATTCTCGGTGTTAAAAATTTATCGTAAATGAAATTATTAATATTACGCACAACACCATTATGTATGACAAAATAATTTCCGTATAAATTAAGGCCATTCGTTTGGCACTGCTGTGTTCAAGCCATTATAATACGAATAATGTTAATAATAAATACCTTAAACTTTACCTATAAATTTATAAAATACACCTACATTTAAAGACAATAAATATATTGCAATCGACAATGGAATAATATTTATTTATAACAGGCTTTTAAATCTTATCAATTTTATCAGCTGCGCCCAATGTCTTTATCAGTTAAGAAATAAAGTTAAAAATTGCTTAATTATTAATGGAATATAATAATATTAGTATTGATCAATAAGGCAAGCACGCACACGCGCGTACATCGTGTATTATGTAATAGATAGCTGCAATCGAACTCGATCGATCCGTGCTATTATTCTTCTTAAGAATTCTTAATCCGTAAGAGCTTCGTTCGAATTGTTCATAGTACACCCGCAACAGAAAACATGCAGCGATAAAATTTATTAGGCAAGAGTTATGAAATGTAACACTTACCTGTCAGAATCTTGCTCGGCGATAAGATTGGGACGCACATCTTGTCCGGGGCAGGATGTGGCGTTGGCCGTTTGCCTCCGAGGGCATTGCAATTCCTTGGCTCTATTCATGGTCGCGATTTCTCCCTTAGGCGATTGCTTCAATTTTCCAAACGATCTTCCTTGGCCTATAATCGACAATGATCCATCGGCAAGCGATCCAAACATACTCGCGTTAGACAAATAATGCATCATCCGACGATAACTGCTTATAGATGATAAGGGGCGATTAGTTTTCGAGTCAAGTAATGTTCACTATTGAGTTTGTCCCGGTATTGCTTTTTATCGCACACATAATGCATTAAATCTTATCGTCATTATCATCATCATCATCATCATCATCATCATCATCATCATCATCATCATCATCATCATCATCATCATCATCATCATCATCATCATCATCATCATCATCATCATCATCATCATCATCATCATCATCATCATCATCATCATCATCATCATCATCATCATCATCATCATCATCATCATCATCATCATCATCATCATCATCATCATCATCATCATCATCATCATCATCATCATCATCATCATCATCATCATCATCATCATCATCATCATCATCATCATCATCATCATCATCATCATCATCATCATCATCATCATCATCATCATCATCATCATCATCATCATCATCATCATCATCATCATCATCATCATCATCATCATCATCATCATCATCATCATCATCATCATCATCATCATCATCATCATCATCATCATCATCATCATCATCATCATCATCATCATCATCATCATCATCATCATCATCATCATCATCATCATCATCATCATCATCATCATCATCATCATCATCATCATCATCATCATCATCATCATCATCATCATCATCATCATCATCATCATCATCATCATCATCATCATCATCATCATCATCATCATCATCATCATCATCATCATCATCATCATCATCATCATCATCATCATCATCATCATCATCATCATCATCATCATCATCATCATCATCATCATCATCATCATCATCATCATCATCATCATCATCATCATCATCATCATCATCATCATCATCATCATCATCATCATCATCATCGTCGTTATTATTATTATTATTATTATTATTATTATTATTATTGTCGTTGTCGTAATTATTATTATGCTATATCTTAGTTGAAGAACTTATAAACAAATTATTACGGACGAGTCTCGCAATAAGTATTTTATCTTTCACAGTTTGCTTCTTAAATAAGATGAATTTATATAGATACTTGTTTCGGTTATAAATAAATCTTTGTATTAACAATATGTAATTATAAAAAGCAAGTCGTGATTAACCAATAACACGAATATCCGTAACACAATGTCATTATTACTGATTAAGCAATTACCAATAAACTCTTTTTTACCAACTGTGTTTTTCCTAATCTTAATTTTTGTAACAATCATTATTCATTATCAATATTTATTCCTTTGATGTATACAGCTTATTAACAAAATTTGAAAAGGTTAGTCGAGATAATTTTCTAATCAAAAATACACAACGAAATGAGTTTGCACAAGAATTTCAAAATGTGATATAACTTTTCGAGATTTCATATTTAATAAACAAGATAATTAAGATAAAGTTTATTGGACAGAAGTTTTAAAGACCTTAGTTACTGAGTGTAGCAATTCAATTAAAAACACTTTAAATTATTAATCGAATATTGCGAATTGAAAATTTACGATGTAAGACATGAGAATTTGATTGAACGACGACGTAATTTCACTGCAAAACTTAATTACCTAAAAAATTAAAATCTATTCATTTATTCTACTCGAGCTCCGAATAAAGATCGATTGAAAGAAATCGAAGTATCGAAAATGATAATATAAAAAATTATATAATCTTCGGATGATAAGCTGTTTGCGTTAAGAGATAAATTGAATGTGTAAATTATAATCAAATGAAAGTGAAACTTCTTTTAAGCGTATTTTACATATCGGTTATCAAAATTGTCGATATTGAAGTAAATCTTGACTCACTTTACAATGTATTTCCCCTCCCCTTCTCTTCTTATTGATATACGGATGATAGATTTCCAAATAAAGAATAAATGCTTAAAAAAAGTACAGCCGATCGGAAGCGACACACGATGAACAATTTAATGCGCGGGAAGAGCCAAACGATGAACAATTTACTGGGCGACTTTAAGGGTGTTGGCCTTTATATGAAAAGCGTAAGATCAATCACGTGGTACCAGGAGGCTTGCGATAGGGCAATTGCGTTATGCGCTGTCTTCGGCGTAAAAATCCATCCCCGGCGACGTGTCTACGAGCCCCCGACTCTTATCTATCGAGCCCCGGAAGCTGGGCACGATACGCATTAAAATTTTACACACCTACATGCGCGCTCATACATCATATCTACATACATGCATGCGTATATATGTAACTGACGCTATTGTTTACACAGCGAGGTCATGTAGACGTGCATTGAGCGAATAATCGAAGCAACAGTCCCGCCGCCAATCCCGCATGAATGACTATTAACTGATTACATTTATCTATTGTTCCTCCAATTACGATATTATTTGTAACCCAGGAATACTATAATGGCTGGGTTTGGACTTGGAAAATTACAAAAATCTTTACTCGGAAGTTCGTATTTACCTGTGCAGACAAATAAGTTGCCTTTCATACTGGATTGCTTGGATGTATTGAAAAACTATGGGAAAAAGCAAGAGTTTCAAAACTTCCTCCCACGTTTCTCATTTTATTGCATTGAATATTTGCAATACCTACCAATGAGCATAACAAAGGCTTATTATTTTCATATAATTAAGTTAAATTTCCGAAATTTACTTTATATTCGACATTTTGCTTCAAACAACTACTGATCGGGCACACTTTTGTAAGAAATCGATTATTCAAATTCACGGAAGTTCAGCTTGAAATATTAAGTATAATAATAGACTTGAAACAAATAATATTGAAAGGAATTATGTACTTAACCTAAGTGTTTCGACGAACTTTTCAAAACAGTCGATTTATCATAAAATGTAATTCTAATACATATTTATAAGATCATAAAAATATTATTATTTACTTATAAATAAATTTAAGAAAATGAATCATTCATTTTACAATATTTTTATATTACATGGACTTGATGAAATAACCATTCGATATAAAAGGGGATAAATGCATTATATAAATTAAATAGAAATTTAATGCTTTAAATAATTTACATTTATATTATTCTGGATATATAATGTATTAATTTTAACCGATTTCGGATTTCATTAGTAAGATTGAAAAGAAAATTTTACGACATCAAGATTAAAATATTATTTTAAACTTTTAAATGCTTAGCCCTGTGCATGTGTATAAGCAAACAAAAAAAAAAAAATGCGAAATAACTTGGACGACAATTTCTATATTTCACATTTACAGACGATTTTCAATTTTCTTAAAGTTAAAGAAATTTCTTTCAAATTTATTAACTAACAAGCTATGTCACATCGAAAAATCATATTAATATATTTCATAAAGATTTAATAAATTATATTGATAATGTAAATATATTTTGTGTATGCTTAGGTGTTATCAAACTAAAAGAATTTCTGGCGCTTTGGTCATTATCTTGAATTCATTCTCAGCATTTATTTGTGCAATAATACAAATGGCGTATTATTTTTATATTGTACATCATTTATGGGAGTACAATTATTTGAGTACTTACATTACAAAAAAGAATAAAGTGTGCGTACGAGTAAGTATTGTAGGGATAATAATAACGCGATGGACAATTAGAAAATGTTAAATAAGCAATTTATAACACGTGTACTCTATTACATTAATTAAAGAATTGTTAAGCAACGGGCAATTAAAAAAATGTCGTAGATTTAATTACTATTAAATTATAACAATATTTGTATGTTAAATAAGTATAAACATTTTCTTAAATAATTCAAAATAATTTTTTTTTTTTTTTTTTTGTTGTCAATAATATTGGTATATTTAATAATACAATCGGTGTAATCCGTGTAAAATATGTGTATTGAAGAGATAATGTACACACAAACGTATCAACTATGCCCAATTAATATCATAATACACTAAGTTTGATATTCATAATAATATTATACATCTTTAATTCAAATTATTAACACAGACAATAGTAGGAATAATATTTTTTATTAAAAAGATTTAAATAGGTATTATTAGCGACGTAAATTAATCGTGAAGTAATAGTTTAAGCCAAGATATAATTTAAAGATTTTTCAATTTCATTTTTTTAATCAAATTTGAGCACGTTAAAAGAAATGAAAAATAAAATATCAAGAGAGTTTTTAATACTACAACTTAAAATTATTTTTCACGTACTTTTTATTGAATACATATGCCTATTAAATTTGTAATTCGAAATTGAATATTTGCATTATCAATATGCGGCCACATAATCAAATTGTATGTCTGTATATGTATATGAATTCATTGGGCTCAAAGAACAAATGAAATAGATAAATCAAATTATTTGACTAAAAATGTATATAATTATCTTACCTGACGCAAATTTTTAGCTTTTTTTTCTGTATATTTTGGTACAGTACACAATTACTTGTATGAATTCAACACAATTAAAATTTTTTTTTTTTGACAAATTACAAACAAGGTAATGGCATAGCTACAACGGTTGAATATTTTTTTGTTTCCGTGAGCGTATCAAGTCGAATGAGTTCCTTTTATATTTGCATGAGTAAATATTACCATCTTTATATTCCTGGCAAGGTAAATGCGGCGGGGGGGGGGGCGAAGAAGGGAGAGTGAAATTGGTATAAGATAAAGGTAGAGTGTCCAGGTACGCCCAAATCCTCAGAATTCAGGAGGGATTAGACAAGACCAAACATGTGCAAGAGAAATAAACTTGTAAAAACAAGCGCCGCTAAAGATATTTTAGAACATAAAGTAGAATTATTATGAATTCCAACTATTGGTGGCGTGTTATGCAAATATATGTGTTTGTGAGCATTTCCATGTAAAAACGAAAAAAAATATAAATAACTAAAAACTTATAATACAGATAGTTGAATGCTATGCATTTGAAGGTAAAATAATTTAAAATACGTAATTGAAAGAAAAGGGAATAATAATAATAACAATGCAAATATTAAATATTATAATTTACCAATGAATTTTTGTATTAAAACTGCATATAATAATCTTACGTTGATATTATTGAAAGTGTACATAATTAGACAAATGTGTAATCGGATACGGGAAATATCTATTAATATTAAGAATTTTAATTCATACAAATGAATTTTTATAAATCAATGTACATTTTTCGCATTCGAATATATAATTCTAAGGCTTTAATAGAACGGTAAAAGACAAAAAAAAAAAAAAAATAGAATTATATTTTAACAGTTCGGGCAAGTATATATTTTGATATAAAATCTGAATAGTAAGTAAATAAGGGAAAAAAGCCTCCATTCCTTTTGTTCTTCTTTTTCTTTTTTTCGTTTTTTTTTTCGTTTTTTTTTTTCGTTTAAACAAAGTTTTGTGGAATCGTTTTAAAGATATATACTCGATAATTTGATGGCACACGAAATGTAATAGAGTCTTACAAATGTTTAGCGTCTAGAATTTTAGGCATAATTTTGTTTATTTAGACTCGTGTCGTAAATTGCTAAGTGAAAAGTAATTACAGACTATCAATTGGTAGTAACAGAATTTTATGATTTTAATTGAGCATTGAATTTCTGTAGAATCTATACGATGATTTTGTGTAATCTTCTTAAAAGAATATGGTTGTGCTTATGATATAATAATGCCACAAGTCGACGCTGTCATTTGTCATTGTCACTAATTAAAATTTAATTATGCATTATTTGAGTGTAATTTAAAGTAAAATTGTAAACAGTAGCTATAAAAGTATCCGATGGGCCAATGTATTTTACGAATTTGAGCATTGTCGTACCCTTAAGTAGCTTAAGTCATCGCTCCCGTTTTGTTTTTCATTTCATTACTTTCACTTCTTTCAACAGTTTTTAATGAAATTTTGGATAGACCAGGACGCAACAATTATTCCTATAAAAATCTGCCGTCCCCATGACGCAATTTAACTCAAGCGTCAACTAATGAAGTCGCTAAGGCTTCTTCCCCGTCCACCTACAATCGAATAAATGATAAATTATGCGAATGGCGAAGGGGCCGTTACCATTACCCCTTCAATGACTGTACCGGCCGTCGCCATTAGAGCTAAACGACATTCGTAACTCACGACAAGGACCGACATTGTAATTTCGCGCTATTTATTTGAATGCGGAGGGAGATGGTGCGATTAGTCCGGGGAACGTACGAGGAGTGGCGCAGAGTATAGATTAAACGGGCGTTAACTCAAGTGAAGCCAAAGCCAAAGAAGCATCCGCTATCCCCGAGCACGAGCTAACGGTACAACTGCCGTGCCGCGCGCGCATACAGAACCAATGAGGTAATGCTCTAATAACGGTAGAATCGGAGAAAATATTGCTGTGTACAGTTGGTTGTGTGCAGGTGCAAGGAGGGAAGCCGGCGAGCTTATGCTGACCGCAGAGGCGCCGCCGAAGCCACGAGCACGGAATAGTACCAGCCACATAGAAACGTATCTCAAATATGTAAAGTTCGCCACGATTGTCGTCGTGGGTCTCCGTGTCCGAAATAATACGGCGGCATTGATCGATCATTGGTGTCGAACGGATTTCGCAGTATTCAATATTCCAATTCGAGAGGCGAATAAGCGGAGAGTTTGGAGTGTCGGATGGTAGGATCGAGATAGCTACAGGTTATTTATACCGCGGAGAAGTGGCAGGGAGCAGTATATAGTAGCGCAGGTCACAAATTGACAATAGATAAAATATGGCTACTCACTCGAGGTGATGTTATTAATTTGTTTTTATTTAATTAGCAGCTGCGAAAGTCGCAGCGATTTCACTGATAGGCTATTGTGTTGGAAAGCTTGGAAGTGTAAACATGAGTGCCAGTGTTTTGCGCGGCACCTTGTTAGAAAACAATATCGAGTCGCGAGAGCGTCTCGGCCGTAAGATGCTTATTAAACTCTTAATATAGCTTGGCTCTTTATTTTACCTTTTTTCATTGGAGTTTTACCACTTGACCTTACCTCTCGCATTGTTATTAGGGATTTCAAATTATCGATGCAGTAAGCTTGAGTGGGACGAACGAATAAAAAAAAATTGTTTTCCTTAAAAATATTACAAATAGAAAAATGGTAGCACTTTGTTTTTTTATTGCCATTTTATTACCTCTTCCTCATACATTTCCTTGTATTAATGAACAATTAACCGTGGCATTAGACTTATTATTTTGCTTTTTTTATTTTACATATATCCATACGTATGCCTGCATATGTATGCACAAATGCATACATAATATATATATGTACACGCACACGCACACGCGTTAATTACATTATCAATAACGTTGCAAGTTTTTTTTCTTTTTTTTCCACTTTTCATGCACAATAGAAGAGTATCTTGCAATTTTTTCATAGGTAATTAAAATATTTTAATTAATAGAATCTTCTCTTGAATATTAAATTGTTAACGATAAGAGATAAGGATGCTCCTAAGATTATTAATAATGGCACATTTGTTTTATCGCATCCTATAATTTTGGCGAGAAGTGCGAATGATAATGAATGAACTAATTGCAGTGTTATTATGAAATCACAAAAACACAAATCTTTACCGTTTAATGATGTTTATAAATTCAAATATAATTTGGTATAATCGTGTTTTTCATATATTTGTTACAGACCAGACACGAATAAAGTTTGTTGTTACGCTCATCCAGATGCTCCACTGATAGAAGATTACAGAGCCGGTGACCAAATCTGTTCGGAATGTGGATTGGTCGTAGGAGACAGGTGAATATATTTTATAATAAAAAATACCATTTCCATCGTCAATTACATATATTATCTTCATTGTTTTAGAGTGATCGACGTAGGATCCGAATGGAGAACGTTCAGTAACGAAAAGGCTGGCGTTGATCCATCTCGTGTTGGTGGTCCAGAAAATCCTCTACTAAATGGTTCAGATTTATCTACGATTATTGGACCTGGCACGGGAGCTGCATCGTTTGATGCGTTTGGGGTTTCAAAATATCAGAATCGTCGAACTGTAAATTTATATTTTCTAAAAATGCCAACTAGCCCAGCACAAATACTATATATAATAAATTTGTTAATAATTGTAGATGAGTAGTTCAGACAGAACATTAGTAAATGCATTTCGTGAAATTAATGCTATGGCGGATAGGATTAATCTTCCAAAGACTATAGTGGACAGGGCAAATAATCTTTTCAAACAAGTACACGATGGTAAAAATCTGAAAGGTCGTGCAAACGATGCTATAGCCTCAGCATGTTTATATATCGCTTGTCGACAAGAGGGAGTGCCTCGTACATTTAAAGAAATCTGTGCCGTCAGTAAAATAAGTAAAAAAGAAATAGGCCGATGTTTTAAGCTCATTCTAAAAGCGCTGGAAACCAGTGTCGATCTTATCACTACGGGAGATTTTATGTCGAGATTCTGTTCAAACTTGGGATTACCAAATATGGTGCAGCGAGCAGCTACGCACATAGCGAGGAAAGCTGTCGAATTGGATATTGTGCCTGGCAGATCACCAATATCCGTCACTGCTGCCGCTATTTACATGGCTTCACAAGTAAATTAACAAATCAGCCTCGATCGTCTCCTAATTTTATTTCCAAAACAATGTACATTTTGCGTAATGGCACTTTTTTTTCATGCTTTTTGTAGGCTTCCGAAGACAAGAGATCGCAAAAGGAAATAGGAGACATCGCTGGAGTTGCTGATGTAACAATAAGACAATCGTATAAACTGATGTTTCCACATGCGATACATCTATTCCCAGAAGACTTCAAATTTGCAACTCCTATCGATCAATTGCCGCAAATGTAGATATGATTACGTTGCGATATACTATTCATCCTATTGTTTTTAAATAGTTTTTGCCAATTACCTGAATATTGAAATTGAGCACTCTCACTTGTTTACAAATAAGTTATTTTTTTTAATTATTAAGTACCTCTGCGAAGATACGAAATTTGTATTTTCTTGTTAGATCAGGTTGAAGCGCTCATTTTCAATATGCAATAGTAGGAAGATTATAATTGTTCTGAAATCAGTTGACATTCCTTAAATTATGTAAAACCAACCTCTTAGTATCCCTTATTAGACCACATAGTTCAATTATGTCATCTACATGCAATTAAAAATATTATTGAATTTTTTCCCTCGCATAATATGCAATTACTCAAATGATTTGAGTAGTCCCGGTCCTGTTTATTGTTATTGTAAAAAGCATCGATATGGTATGAAAAAGGAAAAAAAATGTATTATGATTTTGTAGCATTTTTAAAGAGGTAATGAATGTGATATAAATCTAAAATCAATCATGATGCTTGCCAAGAGAAGCAGTATTTGTACGAAACGAAAGAAATACAATTATTTTAAATATATTACACCAACATTTAATTACCTAGCGTGTGTTATAGTAGTGTATTATATAAATGAGAATTGCAATAAAATATTATATGACCGTTTTGAATAATTGAATTTTACCAGCCACCCGCTTTTTAATTGTATTTTCAAATGGCCGGCAAAGGTCGATATAAAAACTAACGGGGTCTCTCGTTCGCTTGATTAGACGACAATTCGTATTTGGAATTCACTCCCCTAACCGCTGATTTTTTCAGCTCAATATTCGCGTTTTTTATTCCACTTCGTTCGGCAATTTAAATGGGCGTTACCAAAAAAGTTTAAAGCCCAATGCGTGGCATCGTTTGGACAGCCGAATAAAAAAGAACCGAGATCCTGCGAATGTCGGAATTACGGAATTCGGAAAAGGAAAGAGACACGGTGAGCTTAGAAGCTCCGATTAAAAAACGGCAGATATGTCCCATCAAGCCCCCCCCCCACCTCCCCTCTTTCTAGCGGCCGACGGTCACGTCATAAGTATGAGAAGAAACGAGATAGCGGTGGTGGCGGCGGTGGCGGCGGTGGTGGCGGAGGCAGTAGTGTAGAGGGGGACGTCTGTAAGGCACGGAAGATGTGCGCGAATAATGCATCCCGATCATCATTTTTCCTCTAAAGCTTCCTTCGCGTCATTGTCATTATAATTTGTCCTGTTGACGAGTGAGCAGTTCGTCAATCTCTCTCTCTCTCTCTCGCCTTTTCTCTTTCTCTTTCACGTTTCGAAGCAAAAAAAGTCAAGCGTGTCCGACGACAACGAATAATACGAATCGACCCGACTAAATATATATATATATATATATATATATATATATATATATATATATATTACA